CGAAGCTGCATTATGGCGTAAAGTTTGGGTTGTAAATGATATTATGATATCGATATTATGATCAGATTTTGGCAGTCGTTGCTCAAATGTAGCTTCGCTGCTGATAAATTTGTGAGATTTCATGTTCCAAAAAGAAATTTATTTCGAAGTTGCTGCAAAGATTTTTGAGTTTTTTCATGTCGAAAATTAAACCCGCGTTATTGGTTCAAAAAACTTGACTGACTCCTACACAAAGTGGCATAAGGTTACAAAAGTCAGCAGTGATTTGGGCAAAAAGATCTACAGATGTGATGTTCATAGATAGAGAAGTCCTGAAAGAATTATCAAGGGCTTATCAGGATTTGAGCAATGCGAGCAAGCAATAGGGAGGGAGAGGAAAAACGAGAAGAAAGAGAGAAACAAACAATAAGAAGAAAAGTGGTTGCGCATGGACATTTTACGACGTTTCGTTGTAGCACTTACCTCGGTCCTAAGTAGAAAGAGATCCACGAAATCACAATAGTAACCATAGTAGGAATATAGCCTTGCAATATATACCACCCGTAGCGCCTTTTGAACACAAATGCGACAGTTAGTTCGTCCCACCACCCTGCTGGATACATCTGAAGCAGCCCATATTTCACTAATTTCTCGGAAAGCTTGTGATAAACTGTACCTGCTCGACAGCTATGACACTAAAATTGACGAGCTCGAAATCTGGCAATTGTATCGGCTTCAAAAGCATTACAGGATAGGGCTGATTCCATTGCATTCGTACTTCGCCTGTGTTGTAATTGTACCTAAAAGACTCGAAGTTTGTCCAGGTTGATGTGTCCGAGAGGAAGAAAACACCTACGATTCAAATGTAAGAAAGCACTTCTGCTGATCAAAAGGAAATCGCTTGAGGTTCATGTCACATGGACCAGTTAGCTTCATTCGGTAATTTGTCCAAAGAGTGCCATTCCGAAACACCATAAGGAATACATTTCTAAATATTGGAATGCATTGAAAAGTCTGCCAAATATTGGGCTGGAAGGAAAGAGCATTTCCTTTTTCAACTTCCTGTTAAAATCGAGACTTTGCATGGTGGAGCATTTACAGAGCCCAAATTTTTATGGTCGAAGCTCGGAACGTTTATCGTACACAATAACATTGGGAGAAATTTGAGACATCTATTGGTGGAGTTTGCCATTTTCCATTTGCCAATTTCTTGATTATAAATTAAAATAAAAAGATTCAAAAAAATCGAAGTTAATTGTATTAGTCCGGT